TGTTGTGAATATGAAGCCAATAATCTCTTGCTGATATGTTTGAGGCATTGTGTTCCCCCATGAGTACTGCCCACAACGGGTGGTTTGAGATTAGCTGCATTCACAATCACTACATGTGGTTCTTTTGTAGTATCTCATTTTCTGTTTTCTTCCAAGGGAAACACACATGGTGTCTATTATTCCCCCCCACACACACACGTACAGGAAATCCAGTTTATAGATTATTTAGGTGTCCTCTGTAGTCTCACATACACACATGAACATAGTCTGCTCTCTGTTGTATTCCTTTCTGACGGCAATTATCACCCTGTGGGACTGCACTGAGCAGTCCCTGGTTCATCACAGCAGCACAAAGGTGGAGACACACTATACAGCTTCTAGTGGAGCCCATTGTATTTGAACAGCTTATTAATGATTTTTCCTTTCTACCTTGTAATCAGCGCATATGGATCTAAGGAATTAGATGATTCAAAAACCTGTTTCTGCTCAGAAACTTGACCGATTACCGTTAACCACAAACACACGACAAAGTACATACTGTCAGCCAGTGATTGATTTTTCCTGCAGCACTGGATTATATTTTATAAACTTTCACTTATTCACTGATGCTATGCAGTGGAATAACTTTTATTGTCCTGTGCTTTTTATGCATATTACAGTTTGTGCTTGTCCTGTTGCATACTTTTATTTTTTTGTTCAATGGTGGCATGTTTTCTCTCAACCCCTGCCTTTATGCAAGTCAAGTGAAACACACAACCATAACAACTATATTTGGATTGGAGGTGACACAAGGCAGTAGCGCGATAATACGTTTTTGTGACCGACATGGCTGCTAGTTCCACTACCACAATTATTGCATTAAGTTTGTGATTAAAAGGTGAATGAACACTTTTATATGTAGTTAATTAAGCTAAAAGAGTAAGCTTTGGAAGTCATTATTTATACTTTAACAGGTCTGCTTTGTAATGTTGAACTCACTGTGAAATGTTTTTTTAGGATTTGTGAATGGCAGACTTTTTCCTGCTTATATTTAAATCACCATGCTAGTGGTGTTGCATGTTCTTACAATATATGTACGGTATACTGTAGAACAGTTAACCATTTGCAAACCATACTGCTGTGTTTTACAACAATTGTTTCTACTGTTCTCTTCATCTTATCTTCTATCGTGATTTTTATTCATTTCAGTATGATAATGAATATCAAGTCCGCAGTATTTTATTTTATTTATTCTAAGGTAATGGAGTGCTAACTTTAAAGTCAATCTGCTCTTTATGTGCATTAACACACAAAAACAAAACACTGACGAAAACATATGCAAACTCTATGTTCACTGTGATGGGTTAAACAACTCAAGCCCTACACACCTATAGTCCTTTTACACAGTTGTTTTCACTTATAAAATGTGAGTCAGGACTGCATGGGCGCATACGAACAGTGCTTGATTGACATAATCTTCATCAGGTAATTGGCAATTCCCAGCATCCACCCAACTTCCACCTGACTAGAGCTGTAATCAGCCATCTTAATGAAAACACACTTACGTATACAAGGTCTTGAAGAGACGCAACCAAAGATCTATAACTGCACAGAACACACTCTTTAAAAGGTTTAGTATTTATGATTTGTTGCCAAAACCTAAGAAGATACTTAAAAAAAACAGTGGAAAAACCATGTAAAGCTTGCAAAGGAACCTTCATGGCAGAAAAACAGTACTTCCCAGTTCTTTTGTTCCTTTTCTTACAAAATACAATATATGTGCTGTAGGTGAGTGTGTTTCTTTCTGTTGTCTTTTAATGGAGATCAAATCTTTAACACTTGCAGCACAACTCCTTCTACCCACTGAAGCAAACAACATCAAAGCAGTGAAATGCCAAGTTGCTTTGAAAGGCTGAGTGAGAGTCGAAAAAAAACAAAAAAAACAAGGTCCATCTGTAGTATGGTACAACAAAATTTGGCCTCTTATCAGTGCAGATGCCAAAGCAGACAGCAGTGTTGCATCATTAGTGGCTATTTCAGTCCCCTAATCATCAGTGGATCCCAACAGTGATTCTGTCATCTCTGTTTTTAAATATTTATAACAGACGAGTATTTCTGGATCCCCCAGCCATCGTTTGCCTAATGAATCTATTACAACCAAGTCTAGTTTCATCTTTGACTCTTTAATCTTTAATAAAGAAAAAGTATTTCATCACAGTGCCACCATGAACCTGGTGGTTTGTGTGTTTGTGTGGTAGGTTTTCATTTCCTGACGCTCAGTCTCTGTTGGACAGTGAAAAGTAGTCAGTTTCTGTTCAGAGCTTCACACTCCTCACCTCTGTTCTCACAGCAAGCAGTTTTAAATGACTGACCTGAAATTGCTTCTGAATAATAAAATTTGCTTCCCTTCATTGTGCCTGTCTCTTGCTCAGTGGTGATAAAACACACTCCTTTGTGTCATGCTGTCAGCTTCACAGTCTCATTTTATATAATAGCTGTTCCTCAGATTAGACAAAAAAAAGAGTTTCAGGTGAGTAAATTGGTCGTTAGTGACATAAAGAGTGAAAGAGAAGGAAAGGATCTTTGTCTTTTGCTTCCTCTTTCCTCTCTGTCTTTATTTGTTTAAATGAAATTTCTTACAGTACAGTGAAGGCCCTGAGGGATGGAGGGTACATTTGAGACGATTTGAAGGGAGAGAGAGACGGTAGTCCTGGATGGTACTGTACTGTCGTTTTTGACTAATGAGAACACAGTACAGTGTTACAGTATAAGTCACTGCAATGCATGTTGAATGTTTTTAATGCCATTAGGTACCGTGTAAGGCAAAATATAGAAATATGTAAAATAGGATTAAAAATATAGATCATATTTGAGTTACTGAAACATCAAACAAACAAACAGACAACTTTAACACAAGTTAAGCAGTAGGTATAAATGGGAAGACAGGACAAAACATTTGCATTATATCAAGTATCCTGGAATGGGAAATGATTTCTACTCAACTGCAAGATGGAAATATACTGTTACTTTACAGATTAAGATATGACATATAAAAAATATGATCATGTTATAAAATAATGTAATGCATTATTATATGCATTCATCTGATAGCTTATAAATAGCTCTATTTTACCATTACAATGCAGCTCAGTAAATAAATAAAATACTACATAAATACTGACGGGTCATTTTGTCTGCATAATAAGTATGTTTACTGTTGTTATTCTTATAAAGTACATTTAGCAGTCCTACTTCTACTTTTTAGTGTAGGACTGTATTATTATTGCCATAGAGTGGTATTTCTACCTCCTTCCTTCCCTGCTTCCACCATTAAGCATAAAACAGGAGACACCACTACAATCACTGTCATTATTATCACTGTATATGTGATAATAAGGACAGGGACATCTGTGTGATCCAAGCAAGTGAATCAGTACAAACGTGGTGTGAAAATATTTGTGTTCATAATAAGGTTAAAAGCAGATATATTGTAAGCCCTGCCATATAATGTGCACTGTAAACATTTATATCTATCAATATGCTTTGTTATCTTAAATGTGCAGATAACATAGGCTCAGAAAAGCCATCTAGATCTCCAAAATCTGCATCAGCAGAAATGTTTCATTCTCTGCTTGACTCTGCTGGCTCCTAATGTCTGAAATTGCAGGATGGATCAATAAATGCTTTGAATGAATAGTGGCAGCACTGAAAAGCAGAAAATGGAAGTGCAAAACACGGCGGAATCATTGGATAGTGCGTTGCCATGGAAATGTTATCTTGTTAGGTACTGACACAATTTAGAGATATGTACTCGGTTAAGAAATATTATGTAACCGCTCCCTCTCGATCCTTCTCTGTCTCTCTTTCTCCCTGTCAAAGACTGTTAGAGCACAGATTATTGTTGATGTAATAAAATTCATCCAGCCAGTGAATCAAAATGACAGATACATAAAAAGCAGGGATAAGAGGATGGAGATGGAGGAGGGTCTCTGAGTGTGTGTGTGTGTGTTCCAGTAACCTTGCTGACTCTGTCCCCAGCCCATCCCCTCTGCAGGGGCCAAAGCCCGTCCATCCTGCTGCGGGGTAAACGTCTCTCCTTTGGTTCACTGAATCCTTACTGAGAGAGACACAAAGAGATGAAAGTATGAAGGGATGTGGGAATGGAGGAGGAGTGGGTTTTGACAACAAGAGAAGTGAGGATGTTGGTTGAGCGGGGCAGAGGAGGCGGAGTGGGATGATGGGTGAAGTGCAAAGAGAGAGGAGGAGGAGGACGAGGAGGAAAGAGGTGGTTTGATGACGAGAAGAGAAGAGGAGGAAGAGGAGAGAGAAAGTCCATGCACTGCTCAGTCTTCTCTGTTTTCCCTGACTAAGAATAGCAGCTCTTCTGGTAACCCAATGCCCCAGGACATGACCATTTGAATAAAAGCCTCTATCACTTCACATAATGCCTGGTGTGTGTGCTCTACTGTAGATGTGTGTCTCTGTGCTTGCATGTGTTGGCATGTGTCTGTGTGTAAGTGTGGGGAAGCAGTTTGAAAGGCAGATACTCAGGGAAATTCATCAGAATAATAAGAGACACAGACAGGAAACGTGAGAGAGAGAGAGAGAGAGAGAAAGAGAAGGCTAATTGATGGTGATGATAATAGGCTGGTGGAGAAAAGAGGCACAGGCGAGACTCAGTGTTTTATTTCACTGAGCAAATAACTCTGTCATGTGTGTCGAGCCACTCACCCTCCCCCATCCTGTCTTACGTGTGCTCTGCCTGCTTCTTGTAAGGCCTCTGGAACTTTACATGGGATGAATCTGGGCAAGAAAACAGCGTGAAAAGCAAATGTAGTTGAAATCAGTGTTTCCATATGTCTGTGCCATATGTCTGATTAGCTGTGGCTAGCGTCTCAAAGGAGCATCCAAAACATCTTGGTGCTGAAAAGTGAGACTGTGCTGGCACAACTGTTGTGGATGTGTTAGGTATCAGGGTCACAACATAAACAGCTTTTCTCTCTTTATTTTTCTCTCCTTAGCACTATTTTCTCATCGTGTTTGGTCACGACGGTCAGAAGCCTCTGGAGCTGCGGACTGAGGAGGAGAGTGAGTGCGATGAATGGGTGGAGGCCATCCAGCAGGCGAGGTATGCACATAGGATTGTATAAAGGGTATTTGTGTGCTTTTCCCTTTCTGTTTTGTGTAGCAGGAAATATGACGTCATAGTGAAAGGCCACAGTTTGATGTGATGTGACAGAACTTTAAGATTAGAGGACATTAATGTGAACTTTGAAGGCCATACTATTCTTTTACTTTAAAGCTGATTGTGTTCCAAATAATACTTTTTGCACTTCCATGATCCATTAGTTTAAGTTTATTTCTGGGCAGAAAATTTGATTTATATACACAGTAATTCATCTTATTATTTTCTGCTTATTATCTTACATTAAGTTACTGCAGCAACTTTTGAAGCTTCTTGGTCGTTTGTGTATTAAAAGAGGATGAGACATCTGAGGTTAGAGGTTTGTTTGAGTTGGGTTGGGTGTGTAGAACCATTGTATTCTGTTGTTGGATAATCAAACACGGATGTCCTAAAAAGATATTTGTTAGTTTCAAAAGAAGCACACATTGCTTGTATTTTATAGGTAGTACCATACAATATCAGCTTCATTAGTTGCTCCTTCTGTGTGCTATGGTAGACCTACACAGGTCTTATGACTTAATGTGCCTAATTAAACATATTCTCTTGACTGTGTGGGCATATAGAGACTGTGTGTGATTGACATTTCCTTCTCATTCTGTTAGCTTTGTTCCACATATTAGGGTGGGAAAACCTAAACCTTTATTATTGTGATTGGTATATATAATTTGTTGCAATTACCAGTATGTTGTAGCTCAGTCCAACTTCAAACCAGTGAGTAAGGTGAGGGCAAAATTACTGAAATATGAAATGTGAAATAAACTAAACTTTGCCAGAGGACTTTGTGTCCATTAAAGACACCATTGCCCACAGTTGAGACAATACGTTTTCAGGCCCCATCTTCACACAGGGTAATACATTTGAATCACCCCTTAGCTTCTATTTCATCACACTTTCAAAAGTCAGTCTCATTTTCTGCCAAAACACACATTGGGGGACAGCAAGCTGCTATTCAGTCATATTTATGATATAACGTGGTCTTCCCAGTGTCTCATTTCACTGATATCTCGGTTTGTATCGGTGAAACTCTTTATTTTCAGTTACTCTGACATCATCATTGAACGAGAGGTGCTGATGCAGAAATACATCCACCTTGTACAGATAGTGGAGACTGAGAAGGTGGCTGCCAATCAGCTGCGTACCCAGCTAGAAGATCAGGACACAGAAATTGAGAGGCTTAAAGGAGAGGTACAGCAAGCATGTGTACACACACACACACACACACACACACACACACACACACATAAATGAATTAATTTGTGGAGTTTTCCTGCCAAGCCAAAACAATATTCATCGTTAACGGCGGGCGAGCTGTGTGAATGAAGCGAGTGTGTGTTGGGTGATCGCGTGTGTAGCGGTGTGAAGCGAGAGATGCAGCGGAGATGCGTGTTTCTTTCTGGTATAAGACAGTTGTGCAGAGAGTGAATTTCTTGGAACTGATGTTCAGTGTGTGATTACTTTATAGTGTCTTCGTTTGCTCTGGCGCGGTTTGTTGCGCGCGTGTGTCGTGTTACTGCATTTCTTTTGGCATTAACGTTGTCAATTGTTGATCGCTGGAATAACATGAAACTGGTGGCAGGAATGTATTGCATTGCCCATATGCAAAACCATTCATCCATAGTGGTCAAAATCTCTACAGGCTACCTTTAAGACTACATTTCCCATTTTATGTAGTTTCTTCACTCACTCACTGATTCATTCACTCACTCACCGGCACGCCCACACAGCTCTGTGCTTACTGTCCTGCCATGAATCATTTGAAGAGTGATCTAAGGAGAAAAACATGTATATACCTGTGTATATCTATATATATATATATATCCCTTGAGTGAACACAGTGTGTCTGTGTGGGGTTGGTGTGGTGCTGTGTGTGTGTGTGTCTTCTCACAGCTGTGTTTATGGCAGTGGAGGAGTGGGTGTGAATGGTACTATTCACTTCTGAGCGTAGGAGGAGAAGCCCACCGCTCAATGAAGACAGCCCATCAGCGTCCTTACAAACAGCTGCCAAACCATTATGCTTATCGAACGCAACACATTTCTGTTCTGTCATCACTGCACAATAAATCAGACGTGCATGCTCACACACAAAACACAACCTCTACGACATTGTTAATCAGAACTAATTACAATTCTCTGTCACACACCTAAACAACAGCAGGTAATTATTGGTTTATGGTAATTGGATCAATAGCTCTAATCTTTTGTGACGTAAAATAAGTGAGCTTACCTTGGATCCTGACATCGCTTTCAAACTGCTGAAGAAAAGATTGTACATCACTAATGGGCTGGACAGTAATGTGTCTGATTGAAATCTAGTCCAAAGTAATTATTCCAATAAATTGTAGATAAAAACAAAACATTTTTAAAAAAGTTTTTGTTATAAGCGTTTAATTTGTTTCATGTACAGCAAAACAGTGTGACAGTTTGTTGCGTTGAACACCACTTTTAAAATTGTATGTTTTTGCATTGATTTGCCATGTCATGATATGTATCAATATTGTTTTATTTTGTTTATTGATAGGTTTATTGATTGCTACAAATTAAAATAGCTCATAAACCCAATAATTCAGTATTCTACATTATTTTAAATTGTGATTGGTTCTAGACAAATTTCACATCTTTGCTGTGTTGCATGCTCAGCTGACTGAACGAAAAGACTGTCTAGGTTACACAGCTAATTAACTGGAATTAATTCATTAGACGTGTATCACTTAAAATAAATGACATCATTCTTTATAGGAAAATTGGACGGATTAGGAAATTATTCAGAAGTAATGGACGTGTAACATAAAGCTTATCCACCGTGTTTAAAAAATGTAATTGCTAATCTGAGTTTTGCTGTGATTTTCCAGATATTTAGTATATCTGTTGTGCCAGATGAGAAGTTAAACCTTTGTACGTGTTCTCTTTTGTGCCACATAGTGTGCCACAAATCTGTGCAGCAGTTGTCCCCAAGGGAAGCTAGTTTCTGCTCCATAAATCACACCTCCACTTCCATTTCTAATTCTTGGCTCATCTGTGTCAATAATGTATACATTTACCTTGTATAGTCTTTTTCTATCTTCGGTAAGAAATACCACTATGTTCAAGGAGATTAGCCTGCTGCTTTTAGTTGTATTTCTCCCTTAGAGTGTGGCATATACTTATCCCCGCTACACACTGTGATTATATCTCATTGGTAGGATACATAGAGCCCTGTTGATAGTGAAAATGCTAACAAAAGACATTTTATATTAGGAAACATCTGCCTGTGTAATTGGGCTGCTCATGAAAAAAGGATTTGAGAGCCAGTGTGCAGTTGGTGATCCATCTCATTAAAACATACTCTTGTTTGTTTGTTTTTGTGTGTGTTGCTCCGTGTTTATGAATAATTAAACCAACTAGCCACTGTAACTGTCAACAGTTGGCAGACTGGCTCCTCTCTGCTGCCATTTGCATGATAGTGTGAGTGAATAAGAAAATGAAGATAAGAGTGTGTGGCTGAAAATGCTTTTGGTTTTATCTTTCATGCTTTTCTCCATCTGTGATAAACTGTGGCCTGGAGGTAAAAGTAAAAAAGTAATATAGTACTAGGGGCAGCTTAATAACATTTTGAGTTCGGCATCAGCCTGGCCTATTCCCTCTGCGATGGGTACACCTCAGTTTTCAAACCAGGAAGATGACATTAACTTTGTGGTAGGCGGCTCGCTTTTCTTACCTGCTGCGAGTAAATGTCACATGTCTAAAGGCTAATCTGACTCTGCCGTGTGAAGAGAGTATTTCATGGCTGTCAAAAGTATACCAGAACTGACATAATTAGATAGATTAGGTCTTTGAAAGGCGTTGATATTATGTTATGGTTTCCACAGGTTGGATTTTGCTAGGAATAGAACATATTCAGCCGCAGAGGATTATATGTTGTCTTCAGTACCTGCTGTGCCCTACAATCCCTCACAGGTGATCAGGCACATATAAGCCTAATTTGCTTACTGTCACCAGCTGATAGCAGCCCTCCCCCTTCTCTGTCATTCTCTCTTTCTGAATGAACACACCAGATTGTCAAAGATGAGGAAGTCTGATGTCTATCTGGTGCAAACACACCAACAATGACAACACTAAGCACACACAGCAAGACTATCACATACAATATTCAACCAAATGACTGTTTGTCCCTTTAAGAATATAATATCCTCATTCATTAAATCTTATCACTTTCTGCTATACTTAAGAAGACCTTTTTGTAATTTAATGTGATTCAGTATTTCTTTTGTGCAAACATTTAGTCACCCAAATTATTCTCATATTGTTTGTGACTGAATTTCTCCTCAAAGATTATAGCTTTGAACAAAACTAAGGAGCGAATGCTGCCTTACCATGTCAACCATGAAAATGAAGACCCGGATATCAAAAAGATCAAAAAGGTAAATAAATCTTTTCTAAAAGCTCATTTAGGTTTCATGTGTTTTTCTTTTCTGTAACCTGTCTTTTCTGGTTTCTTACATGGAATTTCTTGCCAGTGTGTGAGCATGTTGCTTGCACAGTATGTATGTATGACTGTGTCTGAGTTACCTTGTTTGTATCTCCTCAGGTGCAGAGTTTCATGCGGGGCTGGCTCTGTCGGAGGAAGTGGAAGATCATCGTTCAGGACTACATCTGTTCCCCTCACGCTGAGAGCATGAGGAAGAGGAACCAGATCGTCTTCAACATGGTGGAGGCAGAGACAGAGTATGCAAATATATTACAGTAGCACTTTGCAGTACATGATATAAATCTCATTTACTTTACACAAGGGCTTAGAAAGGATGTTCCTAATTATGTGTTATACTGTAAGCAATGCATAGTACGGTTGGGCGATATGATGATAAATATTATGATAAGATATTGTCAACCATTTTAATTGTGCAAATCAGCAAACAGGACTGCACTATGACGATATTGGATTTATAGGATCTTCGCATTATTGTGATGAAGTACTTCAATTTGTTAGATCTTTTATTTTACTGGAGTAGCCATAACAGATATTCCCATCCTATATTTCCCCTTTAGATTGTTGTCAACTGAATTTTCATTTTCAACATACTATATCATATTATATTTTGACAGTTGATATAAAAATACATACTCTAGAAGAGTAGGTAGAAGAGTTTATACATATGGTTTATACCTTCTGTACATTAATTAAATTGAACTGAATCAGTCGGATTGTCAGATCCTGATATATATATATATATATATATATATATATATATATTGGTGATAGTGAAACATGTCAAACTAATATTGCAAATTGCAACTTGCATACATATTTGGTGAATGGGCCCCATGTGAGTAAAGATGATTAGTAATTTGTATGTACTGTAATGGGCAAACAAAGACAGGCATTCATTATTCATTACGTTCAGATAGAACAAATAAAAACATTCAGGTCTGTTTATTAAAATATAAAAAAAAAACCCCAACCAATAAATAATAACCGATAAGATAAGATAAGATAAGATATTCCTTTATTAATCCCACGTAGGAGAAATTCAAGTTACACACAGCAGCATTGGGGAATATAATGCAATAAAAAGAGAGTACAGTGTACATATAATCTTATTACAAATAAGAATATTACAAAATGTAATATAAAATATAAAACTATAAATGAAAAATATATACATTAATTAAGCAGCTTGACTAAAAAACTTAACTGTACATGTGCAATTTAGTGTCTTTAATGAACATATTTGCTATTTCCTCACTGTCACTGTTCTAAAGCCTCTTTAAATCTGAACTCAGCCATTATAAGTCAATATATATGATGTAATATATATATGATATAGTGTTGAAATAATGTTTTTCCTGTTTGCCCATGTGTGATGACAGGTACGTCCACCAGCTCTACATCCTGGTCAACTGTTTTCTCAGACCTCTGAGGATGGCTGCCAGCTCCAAGAAACCCCCCATCAGCCACGACGATGTCAGCAGCATCTTCCTCAACAGGTGTGTGTATGTCTATGTGAAAGTGTGTGTGTGTGTGTGTGTGTGTGTGTGATAAAGCAACATGGTTTTAACCAAATCCCTGAAGTGATAAATATGCGAGAGGCACAAGCAGATACAGATACTGACGATTTAAAAAAATGTTTTGTCATTTTGTTTTCACACTTTCTTCAGTGAGACCATCATGTTCCTACATGAGATTTTCCATCAAGGCTTGAAGGCGAGGATAGCCAACTGGCCAACCCTGGTGCTGGGTAAGCTGTTACTTAACCATACACAAAACACATAAATAAACACAGTGTGCATACACTCAGCCAGTTACATCAAGGTCAGATTTTTAGTAGTTCTACACATCGAGTTTCTCTCATTCAAACGTCACACTTGACGTCCTACTGCCACATTCACACACATACACACACACTCGTTTCCCTATCTCAGTCTGCAACAAGCACACTCATTGTCTTGACAGACAATGACCACCCGGACCAGAAGGCATGCCACAAATTCATCTCCTAAAACAGAAGCCCCCTCGACAGATAAGCATCACCTAGGAGACAGACGGCTGAAAGACACGACAGCAAATTACTTTTGACAAATTCAAAAAGAAAAGGGCCAAATGTCACCATTATCTGACTCTGTACGTCAGGCTGACGGGTGATGTAGATTTTGTATTTTCAGTACAGATTGTTTCTTTTTTGATCTTGTCATTGAATATTTAGCATCCAGTATAACATGCTTTTAACCCCACATAGACTATATTCAGATGAATAGAAGCATCCATCTGTGACTCTGTAATTAAGGCTCTTTAAATATGTTTTTGCTTTTTCTTGCATGGTTTTGATTTTATCTTTTTGAGGGCACTGCCATTGAATAGCCTGATGGTCTAGTCATTTGGTTCTCTGCAGTGAATTAGAAAATAATAACATATAATTTATTGCTATTTCAGAATGTAACATGAATATTAAAATTAGGTTATACTGATTATTTGAGTAGACTTTGTCATGTATCTAACACCATGGTGATGCTTCTATCTTAAACCAGATGTTTGTTGTCCAAGAGGCAGAATGTGATCAATAAAGAAAACTGGGATGTAGTCACTAATATGATTATTAAAGCAATGTTAAAAAAAAAAGTGACAAAAAGTTATTATAAAAATGAAGACTAGACCAACATAGCTGCCAGATTAGTTATCCTGTCTCTTATGCAAGGAAGACAGTATCACCAGGATCAACAATAAATCCTAATAGGACGCACAAGACAGTAGTTAATCTAGTACAGTGGTTCCCAACTCTTTTCCTTAAGCATAGTGAATGCAATAACTGCTTGTATAAACAGAGAGATTTGAATGAATTTTGAGCAGATTATTTTCTGTGAATGTCGCATCAGAGATTAGTTTTCCTGATATTTTTAGCAACGTTTAATACAATTTTCTGTATTATTTTTTATTTTTTATTTTTTTAACAATCATACATAGTAAATAGGCTTTTTTTGGACAAATTCGGTGTTTTCTTCTCCCTGATGCTTGACCATTGTTGTATTAGGTCTTTGGTTGTTTTTGTTTTGGTTGTTGAAGGCTTTGTAAATATAGTTTGTGTTCAGGTCTTCGCCATGCCCTTAGCTGGTGAGATTTTATATCTTAAAAAAGAATCTAAACTTTAAGACAAGAAATAAATGCTGATATGTATATATATATAAATAATTGTATATATATGTATAAGTATAATAAGTTGTCTTACACCCTTTAAAATCAAGAAGGCCTCGCAAACCCCTGGGAAACTCTGGTGACCCCTAGTCAGGGTCGGGACCCCTAGGTCGGGACCAAGTTATCTAGTAAACATACACATGGCAAACACGTTAGCCTCTGACAACTAGTTTGTTTAGCAGTAAACAGATCTCAGATCTCAACTACATTTAATTTAATCACAAAGCTGTAATAAAAACAGTGCCAACAGATACTGCTCCAACAAGGGCATTTGGGGAGTGGATAAAAGATGTCTGTCAATATTTTCTTAGTCACAGATGACAAAAGGCTCATGGTTGACATGGCTTAAACAATGTCTGTTAAACCCCTATGGAACTGTGCCAGTAGTGATTGCTATAGCAACACTATGTTGTACCCTCATGTGACCGACATACTGCATATTCATATATGTGGTGTGTATTTTTTTGTTTTGTTTCTAGCTGACCTATTTGACATCCTGCTGCCCATGCTGAACATCTATCAGGAGTTTGTGCGTAACCATCAGTACAGCCTGCAGGTTTTGGCCAACTGTAAGCAGAATAGAGACTTTGACAAGCTCCTGAAACAGTACGAGTCTAATGCAGCCTGTGAGGGAAGGATGCTCGAGACCTTCCTCACATACCCCATGTTCCAGGTAGATCGCAGGCACCGGCACACACCCCTTTTTAGTGTTGGGCCATTGACTCTAAAAATTACTCATTACTCTTTTAAAATTAATATTATTACACACTTTACTTTACTAGTAATGAGTAACACTACTAGTTACTGGGGAAAGTAATATTATTACTAGTAATGAGTTACTGCCCAACACGGTTCCTTTTCAAACATTCTAAATCAATTCCTGCTTCTATTTATTATTGTGTAAACTGTATTCTATCAAATTATTTCATATATTTTAATAGCCTTTTCTCACATTGTTTTTTTCTCCTACAAGATTCCTCGCTACATCATCACCCTGCATGAGTTATTGGCGCACACACCTCATGAACACGTGGAGCGCAAGAGTCTTGAATTTGCCAAGTCCAAATTAGAGGAACTCTCCAGGTATGTGTCTGGTTGTCTGAAGGATTTCCTGATGCATCTTGATATTGAATACTGAACTTACTGATATATTTGTGTGTGCCCAGAGTAATGCATGATGAGGTCAGTGACACAGAGAACATCCGGAAGAACCTGGCCATAGAGAGGATGATAGTGGAGGGCTGTGACATCCTACTGGACACAAGCCAGACCTTCGTCAGGCAGGGTAAGTCTTTGTCAGCTCACAGTGCTGCTCACCGGACAGCAAAGCTCTGGAGGTTTTCCTGACAGTAAGGAGAGTCTTACTGCCTGTCTATCTATCTGAGAGTACAGACACAGAACTTCAGTGGAGCTCAGTCACTGAATCATGACATCAGCTACTGTAATACTTTCTACTGGGGGAGATGTGGCTCTCTCTCCCCTTGCCCAGTGAAAATGTTCTGCAAATTGGTTGCTTCTCCATGAATCTCAAAGATATTTTTCTGAGGAATAGTAATAATAATTTTAAAGGAAAAAAGACAAATGAGAAATTATTCCCAAACAGTTTAGAACAGAATGTTGTACTTATTTTAGTTAATCACATTTCATGTTCATTTTAATAGTTTTACTACACAAAACTGATTAAACCAGTTTCTCTTTACTCAATGGCAAACCTCTAAGCACTTGTACTGTAGCACTGAACAAGCTGTCAGTTGTTTGTTTGATGCGCTTCCCAGTTTTGATGACCTCCAGCTTCTGTTCCTATGTTCTGCTTATTGTAGTTTGCTTTGTGCACGCCAAATGAATGTGATGTAAAATTATAGATTTAAAGCTACTAGAAGTTCTCATTCTCCTACAGTGGAGATAAATGGATTGTCTGTGATCACTGGTGTATGCAAAGGTCTTAACGTGGAGCCAGAGCCAACAGTCTGCCTAACCTAACAAAACAAAGTCATTCTTGATCAAGTTAATCTCAAATGTACCACATAAAGTGCACTGTATTTATCAGGAACTGCTTCAAGCAACAAGTGGCCTGCAAAATCTTTATATTGTTTATGTGCTCTTGAAAAAGACACTGAACTTTATTCATTGCTAGTGTGCAAACCCTAATGAGCTATCTGATCTCCTGATTTGTTTAGGGTATTTACACACAGATCAAGTCAAAGGCAATTTTCCATTGTTTGTGCATGCCTGCTAAGTGAAACATGCTGCTTTACAACTGCACAGGAGAGCAGATTGTGATGTTCCCCCTGCATTTGAATCAGAGGTCAGGAGAGGAAGTCCTGACACAGTTTTGACAGTGTTGCCAAGGTTTTTATTTCTTCTAGCAGAGATAGTTTTTTGCCACTGAATCTGCCCATTTTAATGATGATCTCCTTGATTTCTTCATTTTTCATTTATGTCTGCCAGGTGCATGCACAAAATACATGTGTGCAGAAATGTTGCGTTTTACGCACTCAGCTTAGTGTCAGCTTAATGAAATGTAATGTAATCCTTTACCGTCCTGCTCCTCAGGCTCTCTGATCCAGCTGCCATCAGTGGAGCGAGGGAAGCTAAGTAAGGTCCGTCTGGGCTCTCTCTCTCTAAAGAAGGAAGGGGAAAGACAGTGCTTCCTCTTCACCAAACACTTCCTTGTCTGCACACGCAGCTCCGGGGGAAAACTGCACCTTCTCAAGGTGAGAACACCTTAACCTCAGTAGTTTAAGTAGATCTTAGAGAGGAAATTAATTTGGGATTTTTTTTTACCAAAATGCCAATAAACCATTGTCATTATTTTCTTTTAAACTTTTGCAGCAAGGTGGAGTTTTGTCCCTAATTGATTGCACACTCATAGAGGAGCCAGATGCCAGTGACGACGAGTGTAAGTTTACTGCATCAACCCAGCAGTGTTTCCACGTTAGTCGACACACATGCAGATCTTATTTGCTCATGTAGGCTCTTCATCACTCATAGAGGTTAATTAGGTGTCTTCCCTTTAAATATCAGATGTTAACCCCTTTAAATGTCAGGTTTTGATCTTTTGAGGATTCATTTTGCAAATAGGGAGTTGAAACACTCACACTACAGCCACACAAACACAAGTGCTGGGACAATCACATGCATGAGCACACATCACTTCAACACACACCTTTACACTTAAGCCTCAGGGGTGTGTAGAATGGAGATAGCAGGTCAGCTTAATTAACCCTCTGTGTGTGTGTATTATTATTATTTTTTACTATTATCATCATTAAGAGGACTGCTGTACTGTAAAAAAAAACAAAAAACTCTTTCTTTCTCATCTATCACACAGCTAAAGCTGGCGGCCAGGTATTTGGTCAGCTGGACTTTAAGCTCATAGTAGAGCCGTCAGACTCACCGTCATTCACTGTGGTGTTACTGGCGCCATCGCGGCAGGAGAAGGCAGCATGGACCAGTGATATTAGCCAGGTAATACACAAACACACACCCAGACAAACACAGAATAACAAGAACCTCCAAATAGCGAGAGCATGTGTCCACCGGGTATTGAGAAGGCTTAGTGATAAGTAAACACAGACACGGGTGCAGTTCCCCAGAGGTGAGTTCAGCTCACTGCCTCAGTACTTCACAAACACAGTAGCACCATACAAGCATGTCAGACTGGATTAATTCTTAAGTGACAAAAATACATTGACAGTTTTAAATTCCTTCTTTTTCCTCAATTCCTTATCAACCAGACTTTTGAAATATGTTCACAACAATTCTCAGCATTATGGGAGCGCACAGATTAACAAATGTGTGCTAAAAAGATTATTTTAAATTAAAGTTAGTTAATTAAAGAGTATTTTTCTCCCTGACATGTTTTAGGAGTTTGCAGACCTATCATTTCCTTTTCTGTAGTAATTCAAACAAATGTAAAGATAATTTGCAAACATTTTTACTTTCTCCGTCTTTTACTGTCATTATTTCATGTTATTATTATTATGTCATTATTTATCTTCCTTTTCTCTCCTTCTCTGTAGTGTATAGATAATATCCGCTGTAATGGCTTGATGACCAGTGTATTTGAGGAGAACTCTAAAGTCACTGTGCCTCATATGATCAAGTAAGTATGTCTGTGTTTGTGAAGAGGAATACCCATCTCTTCGTGCCATTCTTTCAAAACTTAAGTTTGTAATGTAGCATACCTGATGAATATGTTACAGTTGTGTTGATGTACAGTAAATTGTTAGGCTGTATGTTATGTATATGCTTTTTTAAAATGTGTTTTTATGTTGTTGCTGAAATCTGTTCAAAAATATTTTTTGGTATCCACTCTTATTTTTCCTTTTTTGGATTGTAAACATTTTTTACTTGGCTGTTTTTGCTCAGTTACTGTTGTAACCTTCTCCTTGCTTAGCAGCCCAGCAGTCACCCATGCTCGGTTATGTGTGTGTATGTACGTACGTGTGTATCCATCAGATCCGATGTGCGTCTCCATAAAGATGATGTTGACATTTGCTTCAGCAAGACGCTCAACTCCTGCAAGGT